ATTTTCAAGCATATTTTATAGGTCATTCCTGCTGTCTGGGCCAAGACCAACTTACAGAGGGCCTTCTAGATAATGCCAGCACCTTCACCAGCTCCTGGGACTTCACCATTGGTATCACCTTTCCTGGCTCAAATGGACACCTACCCAACAACTAAAATCTGGTTTTAAAGGGCATATCTGCTCTCTTGTCTCACTTATTCACCCAAGCCTCTCCTGTAACCAGGGTATTTCTCTGCCTATTCCTTCTGTTATTAATGACCCTTCCCATGGCTAGCCCCGTTCATAGGGCCAGTAATAACAATCTATTTTTTCTCCTAGCAACCTGCCTTCTCAATTTTCTCATGAAATAGACTCCTGAGGCCTCCAGGATGGCAGTAAACTGGATGCCTCTCCAGCCACACCTCCCGCTTAGTGTGAGCCCACCAACTCCTAACTCTCTCCTTGCCTGCATCCTCTCATACCTGCAGGAAGTAGCCAGACTTGAAACAGTGCCCCTATACCCAAAGAGTCTGGGATGTTTTGGTGGAAGTTCTAGCCCAAGCCCCTTCCCCTGATAGTTGCCTCAGTCCAGACTCCACCTTTGAGAAAGCCCATCAAATGCTGACTATAATTGTCTGTCCTGTCCCTTTAAGAGATAAGCCCCGCCCACTCCCCCCCACTTGTCTCTGTTTCTCTTTCCCTCTCTTTGCTCTTTCCCCTTTCCCCCTTTTCCCTTTCCCCTCCATAACCCACTAAATAAATACCCACTTTCTCTACATGGCATGCCTATCCATCTCTGTCTCTCACCTGCCAAGTGGCTCCCTGACTGGGGCCCATTGGCCCTCGTGGCCCACAGGCCACTGGGGGAACCGCAGCATTTTACCACCGCAGCTCCTTGTGGCCTGCTGCCTGCTGCAGTCACTTGGGGAACAGCGCCGCTATATTTTTACCAACACTGACCCCTCCCCAGAGATGCTCAAGACCACTCCTACAAGGTATTTAAACTGCCCCCCAGAGAACAAGCAAATGATCTCCCTTCCCTGTCTCCTCCTGGGGAGCAGGAACACCACCTGGGAGCACTGGTATCCAATAAACCTGGGCTTTTTCTAATTTGGTTTGATTTGGTCTGATTCAGATTACTGCGATGGTGGAGAGGTTTATCGGGGTGTAAAAACTTTACTAACCTAGTGTGGAAGGTTCTGGAGATCACTCTCCACTTTCATGCAGCTATGTTACCCAAATACTGTTTAAGGGGGTGGTTCTCAAGTAAAGACTGCATTTCCTGGCAGGTAAGTCATGTGGGTTACTGGGTGCCCCAGATTCTCAAATTTGGCAGGTCTGAGTAGGGCCCAACCATTTACATCCTGACGTGTTTTGAAGTAAAGCTCGCCTGAGCCTGCCCACATCAGAGCCCTGCTTTCAGGAGACTCACCTGTGTCTTTTGAGCTTCCTGTGTGGGGTCTATAACCTGAATAGAGCACATGACAGAGTCACGGAGTCTTGGAGCCTGAGAAGGCTGAAACAAACTTCTCTGTGCAGGTTATATAACCAACAGGACACAGCCCTAAAAGAGGACCCTGGAGGCCATCTTGGAGCTTTTGGGGAGAGCCTATCTAAGAGTTCAACTCCAACAAAAGTTACAAGAGGACAGAGGCAACCAATTCCCAAGCTTTGTGTATTTTCCTCTTTCCCTAACGTGTTTCTAGCAGCTGCAGCAGCTTAAGCATCTGAAGCCCCTCTGATAAAATGACAGCACCAGGAGCCCACCCTGGCAAATCAATTCAAATCTCTCTGTATTCTGAGAGATGTCATGTAACTATCTCCCTGAAACTGAAACATTCTCTCCAGAGAGGGGGCAGAGGTTCTTACAACTGAGGAAGCCAATGAAACTCCCAAGGCTCAGAAAACTCTGAAACTTACAGGACTCATGAGGCTTTTTAGTGATGTAGCCACCTTTGCCTCAGTCATGTTCCTGTAAGTAACCCCAATAAACTAATGGGTTCAGTGAGCTTGACTTGAGTGGAACCATTCTCTGGTGTCACTGGTGCCCTATTTGGGGTGACTAGATAGACTATTGCTCCTGTCTCCCCAGTAAAAGTTCCACAAGAGAAGGCCCTGTTCTCTTTGGTCAGTACCAGTTCCCTTCTGCTGGTAACCCAAAGCCTCAGTTCAATACATCTCACCTGTATGTGCCCCCACGTGCTTGACCTCATCTCCTCGCCATTCTTCTCCAGGAACAGAACCTACCCCAGGAAGCCAGGACCTGGAACCTTTACCATAAAAACTATTGCATCCTGATCAAGTTGGTTAGGGTCAGTCCTGCCTCCATCCCAGGAGTTGCCAGATTTTGTGAAATAATATTTTATTTTTGCTTAGACAAATTAGACCCAGATTTCCCAGTATTTGGCTCCTCCAATAGGGATATCTCACTCTGTATGGCACCACTACCTCTAAGTCAAAGATCTCAACCAACTCACCAGCTAACATGGGGAAAAATGACGTGGAAATTTAAAACAATATACTTGAGCAGACCACCCATCTCCCCTGGTTAACTTCTGTGCTCAATATAAATACAATCAAGGCTTACAGAACAGCCTACCACCGGCCAACAACTACACAACACTCAACAGTCTAGGAATAACCACCCCCTTAGCATTCATCTTATTATCTCAATGATTTGGTTGCTGAACACTCACCATAGGGCAGTGACAATTTAAACAATACACAGAAAAAAAAAAATTTTAAAGAAGTGTCATTCCAGAAACTAAGCCAGGAACACAGTGATTGTTTATGAAGAAAACCAGAGAGCTTCGCAGGGGTAGGAGGAGGGACCCAAAGGAGAAGCGTAGCATTGTTCTGCCCAAAAGACCTGGTTTCCTAAAGCTCTGAGGGGTGCCCACACTAATCTATACCAGGAAATTCTCATGTTGATCAATTTTAAATGAATCTGAAAACCTCAATAAAAATGGGGAAATGGCCAAAGGAAATGAGGAAGTCATTCACAAGAGAAAACGAGATAAGAAAGATCAGCTCCATCCCACTAGGGGAGGGGGGCCAGTGAGTACCTAATGTTGCTTCTGGAGGTCATGTGACAGGGAGCTGCTGAAACCTTCGAGCTTGCATCTCTCACTTGAAAGCATCACTTACAGAAGCCTCATTAAAAGAGAAGTAAACTGAAGGCCTAGCACAGCTCATCACATCATTTATATTCTTTTCCTTTTCTATTTTCATGTGTGCACAGTGTGTGGAGTGTGGGTACATGTACGTGCAGAGGCCTGAAGTGGACATCAGGACTGGCTTCTGCCTTATTCACCGAGGCTCTCTCAATCCCAAACCCAGAGCTCATCTATACGGCCGTCTTGCTCTGGCAATCCCTCCTCTCTGCCTTCTGAGGCTATATATTTATAAATACAGATATATTTACACATACCTTTTCATAGCACCTCTGACAGCCCTCCTTCCCCACCAGCATCCTCAACTCCATGGCCTAACTCAGTCTCTTAAAAGATACTTGAAAGAAATTTTATAGTGTCCTACTAGGGCAAAATTCAGCATGTAGCAAGACCGAGGTATCCTTGCAGGGCCCTAAGGTAAGCAAGCCTGAGGGATTATGTGTCTGATTTTTGTCATTACTAACCCCTTAGGAGAAAGGAAACCCTGAGGATCAGAGCCCCCGCCACCCCAGCCCAATGCTGTAGCAGCTTTACAACAACCCCATCCTTGGGTTGGGAAGTTTGTCCTTCTGCCAAAAGGGCTCAACATCTCCGAACACCATCATGGACATAGACGAAGTACTGAACCAATGGGCACAGAGTGCGGAACTAATTCTGCTATGAATCGCTGAGAGTTTGTCCATTATAGCACCCGGTGTTTGGAACTACTAGTTTCTGGAGAGAAACACAAGACCTTATAGATGAATATGGAGTTTGGGAGAACTGTGTCTTATCCCTTTCCTACTTAGCTAGAATGAAGATTTCAGTGGGCAAATTCCCATTTTATAGAGAAAGAGGGGAAAAGGCATGAGATGGGGATGGGGTGAAGAATAGGAGGAAGAGGAAGAGATAAGATCATGTGGCCAATGATGGGAATGGGTAGTTCACGAATAGGGATTCACCTGGCAAAGGCCTGGAGCAGGAAAGAAGAGACAATGCCAGACATCCAGGCTGCAAAAAGAAGGATGCAGAAGTAACAGATGTGGTAGGCTAGGTCATGACGGTAGGTAAGTTAAATGGCAGGCTAAAGAGCTAAATGTCATCCCACAGGAAACAGGATATCATGATGGGAAGAACACGGGGAAGGGGTCTGAACTTGTTTCCACCTCTGAAGAGCTTTATGACCTTGGGTATTGTACCTCCCTTCCACCTCCATGTTCTCACCTATGAAACTGGCTATGGTAAGATTTGAGGAGTGTTTATCTACAAAGGGCTTACAACAGTGCCTGGCTCCCAGCCACTACATAATAGCTGGCTACTGAAAGATATCGTTAGTCTGGCCATGTCTAATCATTCTGGAACATCCCTTCAGAAAACTGCCAGCAGCCAGCCTAGACATGGGAGAGTTATCATGGACGTAAGATTGCCTTTCCAAATTCAAAGCATTCCTCTATGAATATAAATGCTTCTTTTGGCCAAAGCTGCCGCGTTTCATGAAGAAATGTAAACCTCACTGGAAGAGGCAAAGTTGGGTTGGACATGGAGCTTATGGGAGAGTACTTGCCTAGCCTGACCAATACCCAGCACGCACAGAGAGGAATATACAAAGTCTAATTTGGTACCTCGCACACACGCACATACATGCATGTGCATGCACAATCATGCATGCGCGCACACACACACACACAATACACACCAACACTCCTGTGGCATGACCTTACATTACCTAGATTTTTATCAAACCAATGCAGCCCAAGTGGCAAGATACACCATTTATGAGAAGATAGCTCTGAGCTAAAGTTGAACGGAGGAGAAGGAAGGTGTGACCTAATACATGGATGACTATCGCAATGATGCCTAGGGACTTACTTCCAGATCCATCCTTGACTCTGGGCCCTTCAGGCTTGGCCTCAGACACGATGTTGGCATTGGCGTTGTTCTCCATCTCAATCACAAAGTCACTGTCCTCTTCAAACTCGGGGTGGCTGAAGATCCAGTCCAGCGCCCTTTCCAGGTTATGATTCTGAAGAAAGGAGAACCACAAGGCATTCAGTGTCCAGGCCTCATCATGTCCCAAACCTTTGCACCAGGGGTCAAGCAGCTAGGCAGGAGCTAGCTGACTGGTCCTAAGCACCTCTGAGTGAGAAGCTCAGACTCTGCCACTCCCCCACACACACCCTACCACTCAGTCACCAGAAAATGAGCTCCAGAGTCCCCACTTGTCTTAGCTCAGCTTGTTGTAGGCTGGTGCCATGATGAGGGATGCAAAGGGCACAGGGCAAGGGCAGTGTTTCCACACGGCCCTTTCTACAGCCACAGTAATTAGATACACTATCTTCTCTGTCTTTTGCAGGCACCTAGTCAGAACAGGCGAAAGGACCTGGGAGCAGACAGCCACTCAGAATGAGTTCTGATGGGGAGGGGCCATTGAGAGGGGGTTAGCAAGAGTTCTTCCCCGACTATTAAACAGATGCCTACACCACCAACCCCTTGCTGCACAGCCCCTCCTAATGAACTGTGACAGTCATAACTACAGCAGAAATTCTTCTCTGCAGAGGAAAACAGCGGCAGAGAATTCCAAGGACTTTCTACAAGGGCCATCGAGACACATTTCTCCAAGGTCTCGATAGCAAAACAGCATGATTATATCTTATACGGTTTCTTACCAAGTCAGAACCCTGGCACCCTCTTTGCTCTGAAGCTGGCAAACCCCAAGCAGATCTGTGAGGCCCACTAAGGAACGTTAAAGATCTTGGTCACATCGCCCCAGCTCCACATCCCCTCAGGCCTAAGCTCGCCATGTCCCTCATTGTATACTACATGAAAATAAATCATCATGACGTGTGATGGGACACAGTCAGACAATGATTCAAAATGATCAAAGACACTGGGAGGTCTCTACTGCCAAGGAGCAAACTGGAACCCCCTCCAGCAAGGCCAGAATTCGCTAGCTCAATCACCGGTGCTCACCGTGGCTCGTAGGGCCTGCACGGCCTGATTGCGCTGAAATCCCATGGACGTGATGATAGCTACAATTTCCTCAGGAGGTTGGTTGTCCAGTCCAGTAGCACCAAATACAGAGGCTCCAGCCCCTCCATACCCAGGGATGGACAGTGGTTCAGCAAAATCTGAGGAAAATAACTATACTAAAATTTTTCTGGTTTTTTTTTTTTGTCTTGAAAACAAACATTGTAGGAGTAATGTAGAAAAATATATGAAGTTGCTTAATCAAGGATCCTAGAACCAGATCTAAGGTTAGAGATGTAAGTCAGTTTAACAGAACTGTGAGGTTGGAAAGGCCAAGGTCACATGACTTCCAAGCACCCCTTTCAGCCGGGAAAACAGCCTTTTCATCAAATGGTGCCAGGACAACTGGTTAGCTGCATATAAACCATGAAGACACAAAATCAACGCAAGAGAGATCTTTGTCTTAAGCACAGGAGCTAAAAGTATTAATTTTAAAAATTAATTAAAATAATTTTAATCTCTTTAAATTAAAAGAGAAAACACGGAAAGTCAGTCTTTGGGACACTGGATTAAGTGATGATTTCTTATATACAACACAAAAAGTGTAATTCATCAAACAAAAAAGTAGATGTAGCACACACCATCAAAATTGAATAAGTGTCCACTTAAAAGAAGTGAAGACAGGCCAGGCAGTGGTAGTGCAGGCCTTTAATCAAGCACTCAGGAAGCAGAGGCAGAAGGATCTCTGTGAGTTTGAGACCAGCCTGGTCTATAAGAGCTAGTTCCAGGACAGGTTCTAAAGCTACAGAGAAACCTTGTCTAGAAAAACAACAACATCAACAACAACAACAAAAGAAGTGAAGAAGAACAGGAAACTATCTCTGGAAATTGTACCTAGAAACCTGTATCTAGAACCTGTATAAAGAACTCTTAGAACTTAATAACAAAAAGGTAAAGAACTAATTATGCCCCCAGTGCTATCAGTCATTAGGGAAATACCTCTTGAAATCACCCTGGCATACCACAGTACATCCAGGAACCACTGTAAGGAAACAGCTAACAGTGAGAATTCAGAGAAACTGGAGCCCCCATTCAGCATGGGTGAACATATGGGTGGGAGTTCAGCCACTGTGCAAAACTGTTTGACAGTTTTCAAAATTTTAAACATAGAACTACATCAATTCTGTTCAAGAGAAACAAATTATAAATGCACAAATGCAAAAAATGTTCATATTTCCAGTCACATTAGTAAACGCCAAAGAATAGAAACAACCCAACTGAGTATCATCTCTGCTGGAAGGACAATAAATTATGGTATGGCTATACAATAGGATACTATATGTCTGTTAAAAGGAAGCACTTTCATGCTACAGCATAAGACCCCTAAATACACTATGAAAAGCAAGAGAAGCCTGACACAAAAGGCCTCTCCCATTCACACGAATGGTCAAAAACAGGCAATTCATAACAATTGTAGGATACCCATAAAGTAGATTAGTGAACACTAGGCATTGGAGAGAGCAAGGACGTGGGAGAGACGGTGTCATAGTTAGGGTTTCTATTGCTTTGAAGAGACACCATGACCACAGCAACTCTTATAAAGAAAACATTTAATTGGGGTGGCCTCCTTATAGTTTCAGAGATTCAGTCCATTATCGTCATGGTGGGACATGAAGGAATGCAGACAGGCATGGTACTAGAGCTAAAAGTGCTCTATCGTACAGGTAACAGGAAGTCAACTGAGACACTGGACAGTTTCCTGAGCATAGGAAACCTCAAAGCCTGCCCACCCAGTGACATACTTCCTTCAGCAAGGCCATACCCACTCCAACAAAGCCACGCCTCCTAATAGTGCCACTCCCTATCAGAGTATGGGAGCCAGTTACATTCAAACTACTGTAGATGGCTCCAGTCTATAGCATTTCTTTTGGGTATACAAAACTTTTCTAGAATTAGACAGCTGCTTAATTGTGATGTGACTAAAATCCACGTGAATGTACCCTTCTGACGGATATATAACTGACATCTTCAGAAAGTAGATGAAACAAGAAGCTAAGGAGAGGGCCTCCATTTCTTCAGTTTTCTATTTCAAACTTGAAGTAGACACCACATCTTTCTAATCTTTTGATCAAAAAGCGTGGACACCTTAAAGGAGGAAGTGATTTCAAGAAAGTTGTTGATTCAAAGATTAAGACGGTGACTTTGCTCAAACTGCAGCATTTTGCCATCTGAAAACTCCTCTGTAGGGATATACCCTTGGGAATATGAACCCCAAATCGCTCCCATATTGCCACCTACCAGGTTCCTCCATGTGCATAATAATCCAGTTGAAGGCCACCTCGGCTCCCGTGTTTCCAGTGAAGTACACGGCCTTGCGGCAGGCTTCCAAAGGGAAGCCCATCTCGGCCAGCTGCATCACGGAGGATTCGTCAATGTCTGAGGCTGCAGAGCACAGCAGGATATCCCACTGTGAGAAACAGGACTTTCCACTTCCCGCCTTCATCACTCTTCAGCCCCTTCTCTACAGACTGCCTGAAGTCCATTTCGTTGGGTCTTAATTTGACTTCTTTTTATGCCATCTAACTATTGAGCTATTCGTGAGAATAAATGGTATTGTTACCTCCATTTACACATGAGGTAACAGGGACATACAGAGCAGAAAATAAATTCTTTCAGCCCACACAGTCCCCCCCACCCCCCGCCAAGGACTGCTGGCTCTCAAGCCTACACTAACCCTCCTGAGCCATAAGGCCCACTCACACAGCATGTTGTTGGCCGAGATTTGTTGCTTATTCAACTTCTAGGCCCTTCCACCCAGGAATAGCTGCACGTATCCAGCACAGAAAACTTCTTTGCTAAACTATCACAGAAAAGCTTGTCACACTAGGGGGGCTGAAGAGTTAAGAGAACTTACTGCTCTTCCAGAGGGCCCAGGTTCTGTTCCCAGAGCTCACACATGGTGACTCGCAACCCTCTCTAACTAATTTCCAGAGAACCTGACACTCTCTTCTGGCTTCTGTGGGCATCAGACTTTCACATGGTACACAGACATGCATACAGAGAAGACATCCATATGTATAAAATAAAAATAAACCAATCTTTAAAACACGTCACACTAGTAACAAATATAAGACACCAAAAACATTTTTAAAGATACCTACGGTCTATCAACTGGTTCATCAGGCGATCTGAAAATGAAGGGACAGGTTATAAATGAGAGCTAGCCATGGCCAACAGTGTTAGAAAAAAGAAACCACATCAGTCCAGGACATTCCCAGACTCTCTCACGCCTGGTTACCCACCCCCCCCCCCCACACACACACATACCACCTGAAAAACATAGTTCATTACAGTAATAAGGGAAAACAGTAGGTTTGGGGCACTTAGACACAAATAAAACAAGAAGTTCTGACATTTCTGTGAGCTAAATAGTTTCAATCCCTACATTTATTTCTAAGAACACTGTCTACTTGCCAATCAAGAGTCTGTACTGAACATTGTTGATATGAGCAGTAAGAAAAACTATTCTGAGACCCCCTGCTGCTCACCATTGCCTGTCTGTAAGCCCTTCCAGAAGCCACCTGCCACCAGGACCCCAAATCAATGACTCGGAGTATATGTGTTTGCAGTGCGCAGTGCGGCCATGCTTCGTTCCTATGTGTCTAGTCGATGACCTCACAGGGAGCAGATCAGTGGTGGAATAGTGACTACCCCTGGCTGGAGGAAGGTGGGAGGCAGTGGGCGTCCTTCCAGTAGAAGATGGTACCTATTGAGTCATCAAGAATGACTATAGAATAGTGACTACCCCTGGCTGGAGGAAGGTGGGAGGCAGTGAGCATCCTTCCTGCAGAAGATGGTACCTTTTGAGTCATCAGGAATGACTATAGGGGGACTGATGTCTGGAAGTTCCTCTTCTCCTGGCTGTAAGCCCCTGGCTCTGAGGTGGCTGATATCTAGTAGGTCTGGCATATCAATAGAAACATCTGCAAAACAAAAGATTATGCTCATTGGACTCTCCAGAGTCCACAATCAGTTCATTATAAATCTGTTTGAGTTCACTGCATGCATGCATCTAGGCAGCCTAAAGGATGCTCAGCACAACAGACTTGTCAAGCCATAAGGTTAATGGAAGGCTCAAGGAAAAGGGCAGAGAGTGGCGGGACAGAGGTGTCACACTGGACAGCAGCAGGTCAGAGAAGTCAGTGATCACGGACTAGCAGCCAGGCTACCCGCGGTCCAGACGCACTTCACTTTGTGCTTTTTAAAATATGTACATGATTTAATTTTTTAAAATAGGGATATAAATTTAATTTCAAAAACCATGAAGCTGCAGTACGTTTTCCTGTGTTAACCATCTGAGCTTCCCTTTAGCTTATTCTGGACAATGATGGCCTCTATGACCGTTTCACACTGACCCCACTGCTCTGGACTGCCCCAAGCATGCATATCATGCATATGGGAGAGGAGGACGTCTTTCTGAACTATGTTATTACACACAGTGGAGCCTGCCATGACAGTAGGCCGTGTGCATCCACCATGACAGTAGGCTGTGTGCGTCCTTCATGACAGTGGGCTGTGTGTGTCCGCCGTGACAGTAGGCTGTGTGCATCCACCATGACAGTAGGCTGTGTACGCCTGCCATGACAGTAGGCTGTGTGCTTCCGCCATGACAGTAGGCTGTGTGTGTCCACCATGACAGTAGGCTGTGTGCATCCACCATGACAGTAGGCTGTGTGTGTCCTCCATGACAGTAGGCTTTGTGTTTCTGCCATGACAATAGGCTGTGTGTTTCCGCCATGACAGTAGGCTGTGTGTTTCCACCATGACAGTAGGCTGTGTGTGTCCGCCATGACAGTAGGCTGTGTACTCCTCTACCCAGCAGTTCTTCTTTCCTGCATGTTCCTTCCCTGCCCCTGTTGCACATTTGAGTTTGAGAACCCCTAATTTATATTTTATTCAGACCATACGAGAAATTGTGATGATTCTAAGTTACAAATGATAAAACTCAAAACAACTTGACTGAATTTTGCGTCTACCCCTGGGTGCTCTGGGAGAAAGACAAAACCCTCTTGGCTCAGTGGCATTTGACCTACTCAGACACAAGATTTCTAAATAGCACCTGAGACTTGGGGCTACACCTCTGCAAACAGGAACAAAAGTGGGTTCAACTCCAATTTTAGGGTTATGTCCTTCAGGCCTGAAGAATAACTGCCTCCAAATGATGACCAATACGTAAATCCTACTCAAGACAGCAAAGTGGGCTGGGCATGGTAGAAAATGCCTATAAACATGGAACTTGGGAAGATCAGAAGTTCAAGGCTAGACTCCTCTACACAGGAACTTCAAAGACATTCTGAACTACATGAGATCCTGCCTCAAAAAAAAAATTAAACAAGTAAGTATAAATGTAACAATAATTCAAGAACATAAGCTAAGTTTGAAAAGTTAAATTTTAAGGACCAGTAGAACCAAACACAGGACACAGGTCAGGCATACAACATTGATACAACTGTTCCTGAAAGGAAAGGTTCAGGCCTTCCTTGAGATTCCTTCAAACAGTCAAAAAATCTGATTTCATTTTTATTCCTTCACAAAAATTCCAAGAACAACAACAAAAAGAAAACTGTCCAAAGCAGTCAAAAGTTTTTCTTCTCAAGTATCTAGTCGTCACCGCCCCCCCCCAGAAGTCAGTAGGGCACACAGTGATCAGTGCCCTGCTCTCAGACCCTCTCTGCACCCTAACCTCCTCCGCAAGAAAACCAAGGGTCTCCTGGGAATCAGGAATAGCCCCACACAAAGGACGAGCTGTCACTGTGTGCCCACCAGCCGCAGGCTCCCTAGGAAATCACCCTGGCTGGGTTTCATCCTCTTTCCTGTCCCCTTCCACCAGTGTTTGGATGACTCCTAAGATTTGCAATGCTAAGTTGCAGAAATGCTCAAACACAATCCCTAAGAGATTGGCAAACAGTCTAAAGTCCTTACCTGAGAAGCTATCAAAGGCAAAAAAAAACACATCCTTCCACCTCCTAGAGCCACTTAAGACCTGTCAGATTCAACCCTGGCAGTGTAGGAAATGGCCTTTATGCCTTGTCTAGAAAATAAGCCTTCCACAGTGACCATGGGCCTTGCATATTGGTGAGAATAAAGTACCATGAAGCCCAAACCACATTCTTCATTATACTGTACAAAGCAACTGTTTCCATGTGGCTGTTGTTAGTAAAATCTGTATGATTTTGATGAATGTCAGGGGCACCTGCTGTGTTCAGAGGCAGGGGAAGGCTGCTAGGAGGATCCTGTATCGAGCCTCCCTGTTGTCGTCTTCCCCGCCCTGTGTC